AAGTAACAAATAAAGCAAAGTAAGTGAAGTCACAGCTAAGAGGTTAGATTTCTTGAAGAAGTAAGAGGTTATAAATATTTAGAAAAGACATAAAATGAACTAGTACTTCAGTCTAGTCTCAAAATATTCTAATATGTCTGAAATTTACCAAATATGTTTCATTTTTCCCAAAAAATTTAATTCAAGTAACAAATAAAGCGAAACAAGTGAAGTCACAGCTAAGAGGTTAGATTTCTTGAAGAACTAAGAGATTATAAATATTTAGAAAAGACATAAAATGAACTAGTACTCTAGTCTAATCTCGAAATATTCTAAAATGTCTGAAATTTACCAAATATGTTTCATTTTTCCCAAAAAATTTAATTCAAGTAACAAATGAAGCGAAATAAGTGAAGTAAAGTCGCAACTGAGTAAGAGGTTAGGTTTCTTCGAGAAAGAATTCGCGGCGTCGCGCTAACACGATGGAACCAAAGAGAGGAGTAAATCTATCATGATAGCCTCGAAATGGCACGTTTATCTCGGCGATCTTGTAATGCAAATGGAAAGCTAACCGTTTGAATTACCTCAAGTTAATCAAGTTAAATGACGTGTCACTTCAGGCCGTTTCATTTTCACTCTGGCGTCATTAGAAATTAAAACGAGAGTAAACCAAAGGTTTCAAGCCGGCCAACATCATAAAAAACGATAACTGTTCATCGTCGTTCTATTTGTTGGCTCTTCTAACCAGTCCGAGCGGTATTCGACGTTTCGTGTCTCAAGACCGAGAGGCGAGGTCGAGCGAAATAAAAAACGAGTCGACTGCCAGCCCGTAGCATGGCACCGCAAAGGATTAATAACAATTTCACGACTATTAAATAACACGCTTGCGAGTCGAAAGCAGCGAACTAACGCAGACAGTAGAGCAAGCAAAGTTTTCAGGTATCGAGTGTCAAACTGATATTACCTCAGTGACTCACGATTAAAGATAGAGTATTAGTTTCAAGCTTTCACAATTGATAACCGATAAAACAGTCGTACCGTAGACGTGTATGGTCGCTCTGTCGCCATCTTGGCCAATAACTTGCGTCTTTAAAAATTTATTATCTACCAAATTTATCAACCGGTTAATAAAAATAATTATGGAAACGGGTTTTTTTTCTCTGATGAAACTCGAAACTCTACTTTCTTCGAGAAATGTAGCTCGCATAAGTGGGAAATATGTTTGGTCTTTTTTTTTTTTTCTGCGTCATCTTAGACATAATTCGCCGAAAAAAAGTAGCTCGCACGACAGTCACCGCAGATAACGCGGGCACGAGTAGCAGTAAATGGGACAGTCAACTTCGTAGATACACTGTTATATAAATCTCGAAACTGTGAAGTGCCACATCGTCGCGACTCGCTTTGTTTATTGCTGTCTACAATTTTTTGGGACGACCTCAAATTTTTAATTGAATTAAACCATTTCCAATGTATGATAGTTAACTACCAGAGTGATCAAATTGACTAACTTACAATTTTCTATTGGGAAATTTTATATATTAGGTACTATTATATCGAATGATTTTTATGATAATAAAAATATATTAATAGAAACTTGCCTTCTTTATTGTATTATTAATTCTTTCTGGTAACTTGCACTTTTGCACACAAATTGATACTTTATTCAATTAAAATGATTTAATTAATTTACTGTCTAAACCCTCTTTTTAATTAATTATCCAAGAATTTTATAATCACAGTTTTTACATTTTTACTCCACTTACTCTTGAACATACTACATTCTGATTCAAAATAAAATATTATTTTATTAAATTTTTTATTATTTTATGATAAATTTTATAAAATTAAAATTATTTTATATTAAAATTTTATTATTTTATAAATCTAAACAACGATACATAAATCAAATTTAAGTATACCTTTATCGTAGATTATTATCAAATTGAATAACAGACTAGAAGAAGAATGTCCATCGAAGCTAGCTCTTTTATTTTTAAAAAGAGGAAGAAGATGCCCAAATGATCACTCACTTCACTTCGTTTCTCAATGGAGCTGATTAAAAACTTACTCGTACGAACATAGTCCACGTAGAATATTTTCTCAAACTATAATATACGACGTGGTTTCCTTCTGTAACTAATGTGAGGCTCCCGACCTGTGAAAACCGACTTCTCAACATGCACGCGCACACGCAAGGTCTTACTACCTTTTACCTACTCAACTGGTTTGTTATGATCATAAGAGACGGTAAATTATAACGTTCTCAAGGTATTTTTCAATCACGTTTTTTTAATACGCGCAGAAGCCATGCTGTTTCGTGTCGGTTTTATTGTTTTCCTTAAACTGATTGTGAGTAGTTCACGAAAGGACTGTTCAAAAGAGGCGTGCATATTTTTCCACGTGTACGTCATTTACATTGTCGCGTATAAAATTATTACTATACGTTGTTGTACATACAATTTCGTTGCATAAAATTGTCAAGTTTTATTTATTACTGTCGAAAGTTTATTATTATTTTATGACTGAATATTTTACAATTAATTTTAATTATTTAAAATTACTTGAAATTACATAAATTATTTATTATTTATTTAAGATTATTTGATTACAATTATTTATTATTTATTTAAGATTATTTGATTACATTATTTTATGACTGAATATTAAATATTTTACAATTCATTTTAATTATTTAAAATTACCTAAGATCATATAAATTATTTATTATTTATTTAAGATTATTTGATTACAAGTTTATAATTATTTTATAATTGAATATTAAATATTTTACAATTAATTTTAATTATTTAAAATTACTTAAGATTTCATAAATTATTTATTATTTATTTAAGATTGATGCTTGATGTTTGAATATTTTATAATTCATGTGATTATTTGATTGTTCCATTATAATTACTGTGCTGTAAGTAGCCAACGCTGTTCGAACCCAAGAAAAGATAAATGATTCAGTGAAAGGTATTAAAGACCGAAAGACCGAACTTTCATTCGTGACCAGTGGCTAAAGTACTAAATGGGTACAGCGGAATAATTGATTCATGCTGGTGAATATCTACAACTCTGTACATGCATGTCAGTTTAATAACCTCGTCTGGTCAATACAAATGGCAGCACCAGAATTGTATACCCGATAGACAAGCATTCAACTATTTTAAACACCGGTTCAATTGTCGCTGGCTCGGTTATGGTCTAGACAGTAGCAAAGGTTGCGTAACATTTATTAATAAGTAATACGTATGTATACGCACGATCTAGGATCCATGAACTTTCTCGTAACTCAATTCTAGCCCCAAAACTACGTTCGAAATTCCTTCAACGCTAGAACTACCGATGACTAAAATTTCCAACGGAAGCATTAAAAAGTAAAAACAAGTGGAGAAGCTTCAATAATACAATAAAATACACTACACTGATTTTTCGAGAGATCATTTAAATTTTTAAAAATACATTATTCTATGCCTACAAATTAATATAATAATAAAATATAATAAAATAATAATAAATTATAAATTATAAAATAATAATAAATTATAAAATTTCTAACAATAAAAATTCTTTATAATATAGCTTTGAAATACAATAAATTACGCAACACTGATTTTTCGAGAAATCATGAAAATTTTTAAATACACGTTATTTTATGCGTGAATAAAATTTCTAACTTAAAATTCTTTATGACACAACTTTGTAATAGAATGAATTACACTAAACATGTTTTATGCCTAAATAAAATTTCTAACAAAAATTCCTTTTAATACAATAAATTGCACATTTCTCGAGAAGTCGTTCGAACTTTTAAAAATACACCACGCCTAGTAAAATTTCTAACAAAAATTTTTCGAATAACACTCGAATCCGATAGATACATGCGTGATTTTAACCACTTGCGCTGGCAACTGATTGCGGACCGTAACGAGTGACCAAACGGTACACAACAATTGGTCGCTTTCTTTTTGTCGATGATGATATCACCGGACAGAAATGATCGAGAAGTAATAAATTTCTTATTTGTTTCGCCTTTCTTTACAAAATTACATTTAGTTTGTATTAAACTGAACAAAATTATATCAGTTTACATTAACTTTTAACCAGTTGCGTTGGCAACTGATTGCGGACCGTAACGAGTGACCGAACCGTATACAGTAATTCCGACATGGCGGAGTACGTAACATAACCTAAACGTCTCTCAACGAAGTTTCATCTGGAAGGCAAAGTTCTGCTATATTTCGAGATCTGGGCGTGGTCCCTAATCTCGCCGTAATCACGTTCATTTTGCAAATGCCGGGCACTGATCGGTAACCGATTCCTCGCATCGCCGGGGCCATTGTGTCGAGTTTTCGACCGCGGTCGTGTACAACCGCTGATTGTAATCTTCTTACACGGTGATTTAAGTGCTATGAGACGCAGAGACGAACGACCGAGGTGACGTCGTTAGGCTCGGTCCCTTCGTGTTAGTTTCGTCGCCAACCAAAGTCGGCTTTAGCTTCACTAAGAGAAAGCTCCTCGCGTTCTGCTGTCGCCGATCTTTCGATCGCCTTTCTGGCTTTATGAGGCGTTGTCGCGCTCGATTTCAATATCGGATTTTCTCTCAACGACGACGATTTAATATCTCACGATCAGGCTAATTCCGAATTATATACAAGCAACAAAATTTCGACAAACAGCTTCGCAGACTATCGTTGCGTTTACAGTAAATATGGGTGTTTTGAAAAATTTTCAAATAAAGTTATTTCAGAAATGACCCACTTGCAAAACAACGGAATTATGTTATTAAGTATTTCGTGTCGAGATTAGATTAATTTATTTCCAATTAAATAATTTATTTGTTATTTCGTGATCAATTATTTATCATCTGCCAAGATCTTTATTTGCTATTTGATTTTGATAGAAATATAAACTGGTATAACGTCCAATGTTCATATTTATTATACTACACTTTGATTTTCATTGATTACTCTTTTTTTTTCATTTGAATATTTTTTGAATTTATTTTGATCGTTACTTCAAAGACAAATTTATCAATTATTTATCATCTGCCAAGATCTTTATTTGATTTTGATAAAAATATAAACTGGTATAATGTTTATATTTATTACACTACACTTCAATTTTCATTATTCTTTTTTTTCATTTGAATATTTTTTGAATTTATTTTGAATGTTACTTCAGAGACAAATTTTCAATCATCAAAGAAACATCGTTAAAATAGTCAGTTCTTCAGTTTATTATCTTCCCAATTATTCGCGTAGCTTCAAATTCCTTTAGGTGACGTTGAAAAATACTAAAAATCGTTATTTCAGCAATTTATTCACAAATTGTTGTTCAGAATAAATTTCGCCCAGATCTGGTGTTTACAGAGTACACAGACAGATGGAAGTATTCTGCGAACCGTGAGATTGGCTGCGTACGACGCGCCACGTTAATGCGAAGGATTAGCACGGGGGAGAAACGAGATGGTGATATTTCTCTGTGCATATCGAGTGGATCGACGTTGAACGGCCGACGGGATTGTACGGGATTTGTACGAGTGGCAAACTGTCCGTAGGTTAATTTTGGCCGCACATGTATTCTTTAGCGTATTAAAAACAAACGTGTAGCTCTTCGACCAATTTATGGGGTTATCACGCAGTTACGACAATCAGAGTAACGATTTGGTCACTATTCTGAGATGGCAATTTAGATGGAAAAAAAAGTCACTTTTTTTCCTCTTTTTCAGAGCTGTCCAAAATAACCTGTGAGTCATTGCGCATACTCCTATTTAATTTTCCTAAAATATCGGCCCTCGTCCATTAGCACCAAAGCCACTATTAGTTTCTACATCCTCCGTAAATATTATTTCCCAGTTTATATTCCACTTTTTTGGTGCTGTATTTGTAGAACTTTTTAAAGTTACAGTAATAAATATTAGGCTTTTGCGTACACTAAAATCTTAACTGAGTTTAGAGGTTAAGACATGGCGGTTACTGCGCATGTCGTTTATACAGCGGTTACTGCGCATGTCATTTATACAGCGGTTACTGCGCATGTCATCCGTAACGAGTAACGCTGTTTAATTTGTTGCAGGACAATACGCGAAAGGGGAATATCGAAATAAGAACATAAGAGACAAATACGATTTTACTCACGATATCTTTTCCAAAAATCTTTTCAAACAGAAATTTACAAATAAATGGCCCTGCTATGCCAATTAGCGCCTCTGATCCTCCTACCAATCCAGCGTCATAAATTTTCATTGTGTCGTGCAACGCGCGCAAGTAAGCTGTCGCGAGTAACGAGCGTAAAATTTGTTGATTACGCTGACACCGCGATATGCGAAACGCTCGTACTTATTACACGCTGTTTCACGGCGAGTCAAAAAGTACTTGGCGAGGGAATAAATACAAAGTCTATTGTTCCGTGACTTATGTTACCTACATATGTCCCCCTCCCCTCCCCCTCTCCTTTATATTGTGCATTATATCATCGTACTGTTTGTGCTCCGTCACAATGAAAATAGCCCCGTTGTAAATCGCGTTGCGGCGCGGCAATAAAGCATCATCGCAGGGACATCCGGGCAACGCGTAAAGAACTGGCGCCCCCCTCAACTGAATCATCCCTTTGTCTTTAACAAAGTCTGCGAGGTACGGCGACGATACGCGTTTGCTGTAACAGACGCGTGATAAATTGCTCGAAAGTGCCACGAAGCTGTCAAAAATTGGACTTTCGAAAGGATTCAATTAGACAAAGAGTGACAATAGAGGCAGGAAGTTTCGCTTCTCGAACAATGACCGAGTCTGTTGCAATACCAACTCTCACCATGTACTGTCCCATATTAAGTAACGTCACATTTTTGGGTGTAAGATCATAGACATCTTTTTATAAATGAGAAGAAAATTTTAGTCAGCGACATATTGTCCATTGTTTTGTTCGACTTGTTTCTAATTATTTCTGTTCACTGTCCTTTCCCTGCAGACACACGTCTTCTGGCATTTTGCAAAATACTCTGGAGAATTTTTCTTCCCAATACTTTCGTTCTCGATCACTCGATCGCGCTTCGTAGCTTCGAGGGATGAATCAAAAAAGCAGGATTCTCGAATCAAGCTTCAGCAGACGTGTACTCAAGAAGGAAATGGCCCCTCCGCGGCACAATTTTCGCTTTCGAGAGCGAAACAGCTTTCTCAGACAGTGCTTTCTCAGCTTTCAAAGACAGAAATACGGAATCAACGCAAACATAAACCTGACTTCTCAAAAAGACATACAAAGAGTATT